TGTAACATGGGCAGAAAGGAACTGGCGCAGACTGCAACATAGTGTGCCTCGGGGTTGCCCACTGGAGATGCATGCAGGGACACCCGTCCACCCGAGACATGGCACTGCAAGAAACCCCAATTCCATACTCGCGTACGGCAGCTCTAGTGGTTGATGCTGTTGATGATGATCTTATTGTTGCATCTTTTTTGTTGCTGCTGCTTTTGTTGAGGCTGCTTTTGTTGCTGTTGTTGCTTTTGATGTTATTTCTGCTTTTGTTGTTGTTGCTGCTTCTGTTGTTGTTATTCCTGCTGCAAGTGTTGCTGTTTATGTTGGTGCTTTTTTGTTGTTCTTGTTCATGCGGAAGATGCTGTCGTTATTACTGTCGCTCCGACTCCGGCCGCTCTTGGTACTGCCTGTTGAGAAAGAGGAGTTGCCACCTTTTATCCTCTCTTCACGACCTCCTTCCAACCCTCGGAGGCCTTCGTGGACTTTTCCTCTTCCACCTCTTCTGCAGTTAGTGCTATTGGGCGAGGCTGTGGGGCCGTATTCTTATGGGGTCACGACTTAGACATATGTCGTGCGGCATCACAGGATGAGGATCGCTCGGTCCTAACACATCAAAGTGTCGGATACATCTAAAAAAACCCTGACGGGACATTGTCACCTACGCGATTATATCTCTGGTGGTAATTCCTGTTTTACTCCTTACTGACGCTACCCCCTACACCTGCCGTCAAGAAGGCTCCCACAAGTCCCTCCTCTACATCCATAGACACTCATTTACTTAGTTTGCATCCTCATCGACTTGTTCGTGAGGATGCTTCCTTCTACTGCTTTTTACTTCTCTTCTGATGTCAACAAGATGTCCCACATTGCGTTTAACCTCCTTGCCAACATCTTTCACTGTAAAGTTCTGGTGCGTGAGTGCTTCTTCCATTCCTTCCCTGCTGACACTCACCAACTTTCTAATATTTGCATCCGATGTCAGTAGGGAAATTGTCCTTTTCGAAATCACCTCTCAGGCCGGCGGAATGGTCAAGAGTTTATTTCCTGAAATGTATTTCTCGTACTTTTCACGTACCGCAACGTAATATTCAGGTCCTTTTTTTTTCGGGGCCTGTCTACTGCCCATTCTGAGGTATTGGAACTTGCAGGTTGACCCTGCTGCTGAAACAACTCAGCCATTTTGGCTGGGGTCCCACACAAAAACTAATAGCTCGCAAAACAAACACTGTTGCTAAAGGAATTAGGCGATGCTAAAAATTAGGCAAATTAAAACAAAATCAAAATGTAAAGGAAGAAAATAAAATAAAATACAAAATAAAAAAAAACAAATACAAAAGAAGAATTAAACTAAAGAATAACAACAAGGTTCACAGAAAAGAAAAATAAAGAAAAATAAAGAAAATAAAAGAAAATTTTAAAATTTAGCTAAGTTCATGTAAAAACAGCAAGAATTATAAACACACTGAAAATGCATACACTCTTTCACTACAATAGCCCACGCCTGTCGAAACTGAATCATGTTCAGTCACACTCGTCCTAGCTTCATGTAGAGACTGGGCTTTTCTGCCAACTCAACAGATGGTAGTTCGACTGGCATTGGTTGTGTCGTATTGCTTTTATTACAGTACCTCATTTTCATGCAATATTACATTTTCCTTTGTTCTTAAATATAATGCAAAAAATAAAAGAATAATTATTCATATTGTAATAATACAACGCTGGAGTTGCACAGTAGGAACTGCGGCGAAAAATAAGATTTTTTTTTTTTTTCAAAATTGTTTTTTATATTACGGTACATTAATTAGTCCTGAACACGAATATCAATTTTTGTTTTAGATTTTATAAAAGTTAATAGGGCGGGGGGCACAGTTTGTTATGTAAATGAATTATGAATTGATCGCAGTTCGGAAGTAAAAAAAAAATATGTAATTTTTTAAAAGGTATTTTTTTTTTTTTAAATTTGTAATTTTTCAGCAATGCATGAAAAAAAGAACTCCAGATGACAAATTTCAAATTATTTCTTTTTAACATTTTAAGACACCATATTGTATAAACATATTTTCTTTTGGTTTACGAGTGAGGATCAATTTATAATGAATTTACTTATCAAACTGTACCCCATATTAGATTTTATAAAATTTGAAAAAAAAACATTTGTGTTCTAGAGTACTTAATACAATTATGAACAAAACTGAAAAACAATGATCATTTGTGGTCGGAGTACAGCTTCACTGATAATTCCTCAGACGAATTCATCTTGAAAAAGAATCATAAGAAGACTTTTAATATAAGAAATGATGATGCTATCTGTATGACAAGTCTGTGAGTTTTGCCAGTAGTTGAAAGCCTTGCCTGTGATATATGGTAAGTAAGTTCGTAGTCTGATAAAACTGCTTCTGGCTTTGGTGAAGTCAGCTAAGATAAAACCAAATTGTGTTAGCCGAAACAGAACTGGCAGACAGTAAGAATAAGTTGAGGAGATAGGCGGAGAGATCCGACGCAAGATTAACCAACTGAAAAGTCTTAAATACATACAATGTTAGGTATATTTGTACGTAGGTATGTACGTATACATTTACACAGATGGGTGCATGCGTATCCGAATGGTAAGAACAGTCGCTTTCTGACAATGAGGTCCGAGATTAGATATCACTTGATGTTAACTCCCTGGGGAAGCGATCATAAAACGCGGCACTTTTGGAAAGTGCTTCAAAACCATCCCACTTGTTGACCCAAGTTTTGTGAGTGAAATTAGATCAATCTGATCGTAACTGAGGGGCCATATATATATATATATATATATATATAGATAGATAGATAGAGAGAGAGAGAGAGAGAGAGAGAGAGAGAGTAGAAAATACAAGTACAATAGCCTCATCCACATGTAAAAATAGATTGAAAATGATGGAAGTCCTAATAATAAAAAAGAAGCCAACATTCAATAACATTAACTACAAACGCTGTCATCACAATGTGCTGGCCATGTTTTGCAAATATTCCTTTAACTTTAGACGCATACATGAAAAGATCCACACACTCCGTTCAAATTACAAAATAGAAAATGAAAATCGTCCTTGGTAATGGCTAGAAGAATAGCCGAAAGAACTTTTGAAGGGTATTAACACTCTTTATGTCCGGTAAAGAAAACACATGTACGAACATAAGAAAGATTAAATAAAAAGCTTAATCGAAGTACCTTGTTAGTCGTCTAGGTCCTTAACAGTACGGTTTAATATAATATCTGTCAAAAGTAACGCGTTCTCTTTCGTAAGTAAATTGTATCGTAAGCTCGATTATATTTAGTTTATTTAAAAGGTTATGTTGTTTTAGGGGGTTAGATTAATAGAGTTTCCTTAATATGCGTTGATTTTTTTCGGTAAAATACTCTGGAAAGGACGAGTTTCAAGAAACAATCAGAAAAAGACAATCTAAATACCCACTAAAAATTCGAACGATAAATTTCTGGCCAGTTTCTTACATTTCCCCCTTTCTTGAGAGATTTTCTATTATCACAATGTCAGATACTTAATAATAAAAATGATAAAAGCAAAAAGAAAAAGCATAAAAAGACTAAATTACATTGGCTAGCTTAAATTGACAGTCTGTTTCATGCGTAAACGCAATCGTCAGGCGTGACGATTATGTTTAAGCATGAAACAGACTGTTGGCTATGGGTGTTGACTTCAATGTCCACTTATATATTTACATATCACTGTATCCTGATATTGAACACTTTAGCCCATAAATATAGCATACTTTAAAATTATATTTGTTAACACACAAACACACACACATATATAGATATTTCAAAATGTGTCTGTATCCACATATATAAATATATCTTCCTCCTTTCGTATGGGCAAGAAGAAAAGATCGATCGATTATTTAAACATATCATAGAACTATATATATATATATATATGTGTGTGTGTGTGTGTGTGTGTGTGTGTGTGTGTGTGTGTGTGTCTGTCAATAAATTTAAATTCTAAAAGTAATCAAGGATTTCTGTTGATAAGCAGGACTGTCACATTAAACTTCGTTAATCAAGGCAACACAAATTAATAAGAGTTCTAAAAGATTGAGTAGGCGATCGATCATTCGAATGAAAGATAGTTCTAGTGAGACCGTGCCACAATCAGCTATTGCCGGCGGCGACTATAAAGTCTCTACTAATGTAGAGACGATGTGATAACTGTTCCTTCAACTATATTATTATATATATATATATATATATATATATATATATATATATATATATATACAGGGTGATTAAAAGTAACTCCCCATTTTAAAATATTTATAATTTATTTATTAACTATAATTTTTGAAAGACATGGATATGAGAAGAAAGCGTTTAGCATGAGGTATTATTATTTAAAATTCAATATGGCCACCAGATTTTGCTCCCAGCTTCTCCAGCCGCCCAGAAATCGCGTCAACTGATTTAGCCGGGAACTTTTGTGGTATGGAAAGTATAACATCTTGTATTCGCACTTCTAGTTCTTTCAAGACCTTCGTTTGGTATAGCTGACTTGCTCATTAAAACTACCGCCGAAGAAAACAATTCACAGCTTGTTAAATCGGGACTCCTGGCTGGACACTCATACATCAATTAGGGAGTTAATTTTCCTTTATATATATATATATATATATATATATATATATATATATATATATATATATATATATATGCGCGCGTTAATGCGTTATTTTTTATAGATAAAATATTTAAGTAAATGTTCTGTTATAAAATAAACAGTATTAACGATATTTACCGGCCTAATTGTCCAAGAAACTTCATAGAAAATATGTGTCCTCTGAAAGAAATCGAACCTGTATCTTACACGGAAGCTTCATATAGCCGAACGTGCTATACCATTCGACTTTACTAATTAGGCTCTTCCTTTGTAGCTAAATAGTATAGCACTATATATATATATATATATATATATATATATATATATATATATATATATATATATAAATATATATAAAATGAAGTGCTATACTATTTAGCCAGGAAATAATAAATTGAGTAGATGATGATTGATCAGCATGGTTGATGAGAAAATAACTTGAAGAGAATGAGAGAATATAGAGAGAATCAGAAGCGAAAAAAAAAAACCTTTTGAGATAGATAAATAGAAAGAATAGAAAGAGAGAGAGAGAGAGAGAGGGTTAAATGAAAAGTAGCAAAAGAAGCAATAAAATCGAGTCGAATGAATAACGATTTCAAATAGAGAGACCTATGAGAGTAAAGGAGAGAAGGAGGAGCGTAATACAAGAGATAGAGAGAGAGAAAATGTAATATAAATTGAGAGAGATAAATAGAATGGGATAAATAGAGAAAGAATCGGGTAGATGAACATCAACAGATATATATATATATATATATATATATATATATATATATATATATATATATATATATATATATATGCACGTGCCTCCTAGTAACGGTTAATGGGCAATCTAGTTGAATCCATCACATTCACTTACGGACTAATACCCTTGGGAAAGGTATGAATCCTCTTCCTCCCCTTCCAGCAGGAGAGACCGGGTTCTATAGCCTTGGATGGCAACTGGTCTAGAAAAAGGACAACTCTGAATTCAAAACATGAGGAGGATCGTTCGGCATTCGGCCCTTCAAAAACCTTCATCACTATAATCAAATCTTCTGTGTGTTATGTTTGACCCTCATACGGCGAATTCGACGGGAGAGTCGAGAAAAAAATATATATATATTAACTTTCATATTACTACATAGAAAAGTAACTTTTGTATGTATTAATACAAAAGTTATTTATTTGTGGATACCTGTAATTGAGTAGACCATCCGTTTGTTAAATACTGCTATTTTGTCTACCCGTCCCCGCACTCTAGAAAACTTAACAAAGAAAATGCAGCCCTCGCAGGATTCGATCCTGCGTCCCCTTTGCAGAAGTAACCACTGATCCGACGTGCTTTGACCGTTCAGTATCCTGAGCGCATCACAGTCTGGTGAAGGGAGGCATAGGCAGATGAATTCAAATAAACACTGTTTAAAAAAAAAAAAATAAAAAAAATAAAAAAACTCAGTGTCTATTCAAATACGGGTATCCACTAAAAATAAGTCAGATTAAAAAAATACATAATCGATAGAATCCCGTATACATAATATGACGGAACGAAATACAACAAACGTCGATTTCAATTCTATCAGGTCATCCCATAAGTTCTGTCCGAATTTTAACTTTTTGTTAAAATGAACGAAATTTAAAGTGTATTTTATAATGTCTAATGGAGCCGAACATTATTTTTATGTTTAGATGCATTTAAACTGATCAAATTTTATTTCAGAGAACAATAAAATTAAATTTTGTTTGATTAAAGCCCTGCTAACCTGGAAATACCCAAGAATCATTTGAGGCACATAATGCTTTATGAGTTCAAGAAAGGAAACTCAGCAGCCGAAGTGCCTAGAAACATTCACTCAGTTTATGGAGAGGAATGTGTGAATGAAAGAACTTGCAGAAGATGGTTTGCAAAATTCAGAGGTGGAGATTTCACCCTTGAAGATGAAGATCGAACCGGACGTCCAGTTGAGTTTGATGAAAAGCTTCTTGAAGTTGGCCTTGGGAAAATTCTGCATTATCAATTGAGGAATTAGCAGTGGTTCTCAGTTCAAACCATACAACTGTTCATCGTCATCTTCAACAACTTGGAAAAGTTCCTAAACTTGGAAAATGGGTGCCTCATGAATTGTCTGAAAACAACCTCAAATCCCAAGTTGACATCTGCTCTTCTCTCCATTCTCGCCAACTTGTTTCACCTTTTTTTGGATAGACTTGTGACTGGCGACGAAAAAATGAATCTTTTATCGAAATGTTAAGCGTCGTAGACAGTGGCTTGGTAAAGGGGAAGGACGCCAGCCACAGCCGAGAATGGAACTTCATGGGAAAAAGGTTCTTCTTTCAATCTGGTGGGATCGATAATCCACTTTGAATTCTTACCACCTAATGCAACAATTAATGCTCAAATATACTGTCAGCAATTAGAGCGTTTGAAACAAACTTTGAGGAAAAAAGACCTGCTCTAGTGAATCGAAAAGAGGAATTGGCAGTGGTTCTCAGTTCAAACCATACAACTGTTCATCGTCATCTTCAACAACTTGGAAAAGTTCCTAAACTTGGAAAATGGGTGCCTCATGAATTGTCTGAAAACAACCTCAAATCCCAAGTTGACATCTGCTCTTCTCTCCATTCTCGCCAACTTGTTTCACCTTTTTTTGGATAGACTTGTGACTGGCGACGAAAAAATGAATCTTTTATCGAAATGTTAAGCGTCGTAGACAGTGGCTTGGTAAAGGGGAAGGACGCCAGCCACAGCCGAGAATGGAACTTCATGGGAAAAAGGTTCTTCTTTCAATCTGGTGGGATCGATAATCCACTTTGAATTCTTACCACCTAATGCAACAATTAATGCTCAAATATACTGTCAGCAATTAGAGCGTTTGAAACAAACTTTGAGGAAAAAAGACCTGCTCTAGTGAATCGAAAAGAGGAATTGGCAGTGGTTCTCAGTTCAAACCATACAACTGTTCATCGTCATCTTCAACAACTTGGAAAAGTTCCTAAACTTGGGAAATGGGTGCCTCATGAATTGTAATAACTCGGTGTTTATGAGGGATTTTATAGACCAACAGTTCTTAACCTGTTACACACGCTGACTACCTTTATTCTTACTATATATATACTTTTGAAGACCTAATTTTGAAGCTAATTTTAAGGGGGTCACATAATACACGAAGTATAAAATTAGTGTATGTACTACTGGCCTTGGCTACGCCATTGAACAAACTATATATCCCTTTCTTCTTTTATGGGCCCTGTTCCTTCAAGACGGAGGCGATCATGGCTCTCCATTTACCCTTCTCCATTGTAGTTCACAATATGATTTGTCCTTTTGCTACTTCTCCCAGACCCTGTTTCGTCATCGACTTGCTTAAGCCTTCTAGATTTCCCTTGTCTCTCTTTCCCTTTATTCGTCCTGTGATTATCAGATTCTCCAAGCCCTCTTTTCTCATTACGTGACCCAGAAATTTCAGCTGCCTCTTCCTGATGTTAAGTATAAACTTCCTCCTTGTTTGCATCCTCTCCAGAACCTCATTGCTGCTCACATGTTCGGTCCATGGTATCCTTTGTATCCTTCCGTAGAACCTTAGGTCCGTTGCCTCGAGTCTCTTCTTCATCTTTGAGAAGACCGGCCAGTATTTGCTGCCGTAAAGGAGGACAGTTATCACGTAGCATTTCATTACTCTTTTCTTTGTTACCAGCGAAATCCTCCTGTCTTATAATAATAATCTGACTAGTTTTTGGAATGCATCTTTGGCCATCCCAGTACGTCTTCGGATCTCAGCTTCGCACTTACCGTCCTCTGTCAGAACATTTCCCAGATATTTAAATTTGCCACCTGCTTGATTTTAATGTTTCCAACCTGTAAATCGTATTTCGGGCTTATCTTTTTACTGATGACCATGCATTCTGTCTTCTTGTAGTTTAGGCTTGGTCCCTTCTTCTCGCTCTCCTTCGCTACCTTCTGCAGGAGGTCCTTTCTGTGCCTGCCATAAGCACAGTGTTATCAGCGTATCTTATGGTGTTAAGATTAGGGCCACCGATGATGAATCCTGGTAGGACTTCCAGTTCTCAGAATTCTCGCTGTATAGGTTGAATAAGTCCGATGAAGCACTACTTCTTTCTATTTTTTGTATATCTGCTGAACTAATATTTTTTATCTTTATGCAGGCGGTTTGCTGCCAGTAGAGGTTTTTGATTATTCTAATGTCTTTCCCAAATATATCAAGGTTGCTGAGCAGCTACAACAGATCTTTGTGGCATAGTTTGTCGAACGCCTTTGCGGAGTCTATAAAAAACAGCTGCATGTTTTTCTGCATCTGTATTGCTCTTTCTGATAACATTCTGAGCATGAATATGGCATTCCTTGTTCCAGTGTCTTTAACGAACCCGCACTGTTCTTGTCCTATCTCTGGACTGATTCTACTGCGCGCTCTATTCATCAAAATATGGATGATTAGTTTTCTTATGTGGCTCATTAGGCTGATTGTTCAGTGGAATTCACATTCCTTTGCACCTGGCTTCTGATCAGTGCTATTTTTGTATACGGTAGTCAAATTAGCTTCAAAATTACGTCAGTATATACAGTATTTTTTTTTGGGGGTAACCTATAATCATTCGATGAGAAAAAATGCTCATTTTATTTTTTTTTACTAATAGATTAGTTTAGGGGTTGTATTATAAAAATAGTATATGTATATTCTTTATTTTGACGTGAAACTAATTTAATGAAAATAAACTTGTCTGTAACACTTAACTTATCTGAAACATTTATGCACATTCGTAAAATAACTCATAATAAAAAAATTTTTAAACATTTCCGATTTTTTGGTGTGGATCACGGTAATGTTACATAACATCCCCCCCGGATCCATATGGACCCCGGTTGAGAATCACTGATCTGAAACAACCTCCCGGAGCTGCGAGGTTCTTATTTGGGGTGGGAAGTAGGATTTCGACCATGCGACCATCTCCTCATGATCTGCATATAAAGGTGGAGAGTTTTTGATAATACCAGTCTGGAAAGATGACCCCCCCCCAACTTGAGACATCATTGGAAAGTGCCTGAAAACTATGCCACGGATTGACCAAAGACTTGTGAGTGAAACACAATAGACTAAACTGTTCTTAGACTATTCCTGGTGAGTTCTGGCACGAAGTCACAAGTCATCGTGAGCGAGGATTGACTGAAATGGCCTTGTACAACTGCTGATTACACCAGACCATACGCTCTCGTCCAAAACTGTATAATAGGTCTACTCAGCTGTGTTACACTATAAATACTAATTTGACTATAGGTTTTGGGAAAACATGCAACAGGTCTTAGGTAGTTTTTTTTTAACCTCGAACAAGACGATAAAGACATTGTGAAAGAGAATGAGAAGATATTCGTGAAGAGAAAGGATAATAAAGTAAAAGGATTCAGGCAGACAAAAGATGGCATTTAAATTCTTGAAGATCGTAAGTGTTTGGAAGCAAGAAACCAGAAGAGAGTTCTACAGATGCGTAAAGTAACTACCAGAATAGAACTTACGCTCACATCTAGCTGTTTTAACAGTAACACGATGGGACCTAATTGTCAATCTAGTAGTACGTTTAACTTTATGCAGTCGAGGCACAAGGAGGAGGGCTCATTGGAACAATAGCCATGAAAATATTTACAGAAAAGGCAGAGGGAAACCTCATCACGCCGGTGGTAAATTTAGACTGATAACCTTCTTTGGATTTTGATGAGAATTTCATGGTATATTAAAGGTGCTCTAGTTCTGATATGACAGCAATATTCAATGCACGTACTAATGGTAGATTTATAAATGTGCTAGATTTCTAGCAGTAGACCTTGCAAATGATTCAATATAATCATCCCACTTTACGTCGGTGCAAAATAAGAAGGCGAAATGAGTCGCTCTCCTGGGGGTTAGCATCAGCCATACTGATCGAAGTCAAAAAGGGTTCTCTATGAAACTTAAAAGATTTAGAAAAAAGGTGTACTCTGAAACACTTATGATAGATATGTGTATGTTTTTTTTTTTTTGTGCATGGAATATTTCACTGAAATTAGTGAATTGTCACACTTAATAATATTATGTTGGTGCAAAATAATACGTTTTTGACGTAATTAAAACAAACATGTCACCATCTCTAAAAACATGTCACCATCTCTTTATAACATAAATATTGGTAATCCTTCACTTAAGCGGCGTAAAATAAACTGCTATTCCCTGAACGGGGTAAAATCAATATGACCAGGGTTCTATACGATTATTACAATCAAACACCATTAAAAACGGATAATAATGGACTACCCAGCACATAAAACACTAAATAAGCGGGACTATTCTTGTACCGCTGATGCCACACGGATTCGTGAAGATGCGACGTGGACAGCGCCTCAGAAGTTCTAAACTGTCGACACAGTTTACGTATGTCGTTCTGCGACTCCAGGAATAGACATAACCGATCAGTTGCTTTCGTGGTAACCTGCTGTTTACAAAAATGACTCATCTCTGATAATTCGACGAGGTTTATGTGATTTGCAAGAGCAGCGATAAGCATCTATTTCATCTTGACAGGAATTTAGCCCAAACGACCGGTTGCAATGAAGACTGTTTCAAATGAGTAGTCGTTGGACTAACCAATATAGCACAGTTAAAGGCCCCTTAAGACCATTGCCGTGCTCCAATAAGCTTCAATGTCCTTGCAAAATATCTCTTACACACTATGGGGAAAGAAGGTTTGGAAAATTTTATACCCACAGGTCAGATTAAAGGTAAGAAGGCTAGATGAAAGCAACGTGCTACTCACCTGGCGAGTTTGAGGGAGATAGTAAATAGAAAAAAGTTAAGAGCTATAAAGGACAGGAAACTGTGGAGAGCCATGATCACCAACATTAAGAAGGGACACGACGCAAAGAAGAAGAAAAAAGAGGAGGAGGCGAAGAAGAAGAAGAAGAAGTTGATGAGGCGATGGCTCAAAAATTGAGCTTAAATATAAAAACTATCGTTTAAAAGAAAGTAGAGTTATTAACTGGTATGATTATCAAATATTTAAACCGTTTAGCATACAACATATTTCAAGAAAGCGCAACTTCTAAATCGGAAAATGAATTTTCTATATTGTACTTCAAAATGCTTTGGATGTATGTGGAGGACATTTTCTATAGCTGTGTATGTGTTGGGCCAGTGTACGTAGATTAGAGACAATACAAAACCTGAGAAACAGAGAAAGAACTCATACCATGTTATAAATAGGTTACAAGATGGCTGCCCACTGAAACAGAAGGAAAATTATTTAATTTGGTCCATTTTTGTGATGGAAAAAAATGGCTGGCAAAGTAGAAAAAAGTGAAGGAAATAAAGTGCAAAAAGAAGGAAAACTCTAATTAAAAAAAGAAAAAGAAAGAAAATGGGAATGAAAGAATAAAAAGAATAAAATGAAAGAGAATTCAGTTGAAGTAATAAAAAGATGGAAAATTCGAACCAAAAATTAAAAGAAAGAAAATTATAATGAAAGAATGAACCGAAAAAAAATTCCAGTGAAATAAAAAGAAAAACACAAAAAAAAAAATAAGGAAACGAAAGAAAAAAAAGAAGACAAATTCGAATGAAAGAATATAGAGAAGGAAAACTCGAAAAAAAAAAAAGAAAAGTTCAAATGAAAGCATAGAAGGAAGCAAAACTGGGATGAAGAATAAAAGACAGAAAATTCGAATGAATGTATAAAAGAAATAAAATTTGAATGAAAGAATAAAGAGTAAGAAAACTCGAATGCAAAAAATACAAGGTAGAAGTGAACAAAAGAATAATCGAAAGAAAAAACAAAAAAGAAGTATGCAAATTTGGAAACCTCGAATGAAAAAATAAAAAGAAAGAAAATTCTAATGACGTAATAAAAAGAATGAAAAGTTGAGTGAATGAGTTAAATGAAAGAAAATTTAAATGGAATAATATAAAGGTGGAAAACTCATAGCAAAAATTAAAAGACAGAAAATTAAAATGAAAGAATAAAAAGAAAGAAAATTCAAATGGAAAAGGAGAAGAAAAACACGAATGAAGGAAAATGAAAAACTCAAACGAAAAAATAAAAAGAAAGAAAACTATATTTCAAGGAAGAAAAACAGTAATGAATAATAAACAAACTGAAAATTCGAATAAATGTATGAAAAGAAAACTTGAATGAAAGAACAAATAGAAGAAAAATTCAAATGAATGAACAAAGAGAAAGAATAGAAAAATGGAAAAACTAAAATGAATGAATAAGAAGGAGGAAAATTCGCATGTAAGAATAAAGAAAAAAAAGACATGAATGAAAAATAAAAATGAAGAAAATTTTAATGAAAATAAAAAGATGGAATACAGGAATGACAAAAGAAAAAGATGGGAAATTCGAATGAAAGAATAAAAAAGATGGTAAGATTAAATGAAAAAAGAAAAGAAAGAGTTTACTTAAAAAAAAATAGAGGGAATTAATATTTAAAAATAAAAAAAAATAATCGAAACAGAACTTGAAATAAATTACTTAATTTCTTGAGTAGATACTTTTAGTATAAAAATAGATGAACGTAAAATTGGATTGTCGTAGGAAAGAAATCTATGGATGACCAGAAAAGAATAAATAAATAGGAGTACAGAAAAGGAAATAAAAGAAAGAGAAATATAAAGAAAAAGAATTATCCTAAGAATATGTGCTGTCTTTCACCGGGCCAATGGACAATGGTTTGGTTCGAAGCCAAAATGAGGCAAAGGAACAGAATGCCAAATTCTCATGTCGTTCTTCAAAGCCAAAGCTGTCTCAGACATTTACCGAGACATCTCCCGTCTTGGAACCGACCCTTCACCAAAATCTTCACTGCAGACATGTATCACCAATAGACTAAAGATGTCACTTAACTACTGAATGTAACAAACTAACAGATTTAAGCGGTTCCTGTTAGCGGAACGTCGCACAGTCAGTAGTCGTATATTTTAAGAAAACAACGACTATTAATTTTGACTTCTTAGTGGTTATAGAATGGGGCCGAGAAGTTATTGACTTCTTTGTGCCTGCCAGATCGATGAAGATCGTTACTGTATATATTTGCTTCTTTTAACATTAAATAACCGAGCAAAGTGTCCTTACCCCAAAATAAAAAGAATTTATATTTACTAAAATTCACACGAAATTGCCTTCCAATTGGGTTGACCTTTGTGATCGCATAAAATGTGGGCAAATCAGGAGCGCTATTTCTGAGTGTGGAATCAACGTTCGCGCTCTCCTCGTTAAAAAAAAAAAAACATTTTTTTTTTTTTAATTGCGAAGAGTTCCTTGTAAGTATTGGGTATATCAACCGCACTAACGAAATGCGAATAACTCCCACATTTTTAGTAATTTTTAATTCTGAGGGTTGGAATTTTACAATGCAATCTAAACAAATTTTGATTTAAATTTTTTTAATTTCAAAAGCGTGCCAAAAATTAATAACAAACAAACTTGGATTTAAAATTTATAATTTCTTCGAGTGAATTATTAGGTTGGTGCAAAAATAATGACGTAATAATGTCGTTTTTTGACGTATTTTATAAGGTCAAAAAACGACATTATTACGTCATTATTTTTGCACCAACCTAATAATATCTGTGATAAGAACGTTTACATTATTTGAGGTGAATTAACAAAAAAAAGATCCTATCGCCACTAAACTAATGACGTCACCCAACCACTGAATGTAACAGTAAAGTTAACAGTTTTAAGCGGTTGCTACTGATGGAGTGATCCACAGCATCGGTGCCGAATTTACGTATATGCTCAGCAGGCTGAAGCCTAGGACCTCAATATCTAGGGAGTTTCCAGCCTAGGCGTATAATATTTTTGACACTGTCACAGGCCTTCTTACACATGCTGTTATAACGCATTGTAGACTATAAACAAACTTTCAATAATTTTCCTAATATTTCATTTCAGAATAATTCTGCCTTAAGCCGATAACTCGATGCTAGCATTAATTACTTTATAGATTTTTTTTTTTTTAATTTTAACATTTCAATCACTTGCTGTATTTAACAGTAGAATGTTATGTTCTTTAGAGGAGGAATTGTCAACTGTGAAATTTTAAACACCCGTCATCATCCTCGGCTTTACTCAAATTGTTTAATTTAACACTCTTTCATTTTCTTCTACTCGTGCGAATGAAGATTTGGAGCCCCCCCCCCCAAGAGGTAGGTGTTTGGACACAGGCAAAGTCTCGAGGTGGAAGTCTAATTTTTCTAACAGTAAAGACTTCTATATTTGAACGATAGGCACAACAAAATTTCCCTAGACCATTTTTTAAGACTAACTGATTTTCTGACCTGAAAAAAAAGAAGTTTCCTGTTTAGAGAACGTCAACGAACAACATGTAAGTTTTTCGGGTCCCAGCATAGAAAATGGATGAAGAAAAGCATAGATTAACAAAATATCCCTTTTTTTTTTAAATACATTCTCAACAAAATTTTCGTATATTAATCTCTGTTTTGTTTTAAGTCGTTAGTCTATGTACCATTAGTTTTCTTCTATATTACGCAACCCTTCAGCACACAAGGGATTATGGCCCTCCACCACTTTCTATCTGTGACCTTTTGCAGTTTTGTTTTCTGTGCTAATGCCCGAGCCGCCTGTTCCACTATCCATTCACATATGCTCGTCAGTTGACTCGCTGTTTTCCCTTATTTCTCTTGCCCACAATATACCTCACGAGTGTGTGAAATTTTTCAAGCTTTCCTTCCTCATTATGAGTCCACGGAATTTCTTTTCTTGATTCTGAGTAGAAGTATTCCGTTTGATGCCATTTTCTTTAAGACTTGTTTCTTACTTTCTTTCTCCATGGAAGTCTCAGTATCTTTTTGTAGAAATAGAGTTCTGCTACTTCTAGTTTTTTTTCCACATCCGTGCGGAGATTGTCCAATATTCAGTGCCATATAAGAGGATAGATAACACATAGCAAGGCAGCACTATTTTCTTTGGTTTCCGCCTCTAAGAACCTTACTTAGCTTTTGGGATGCTTCTTTCGCTAGTCCAATGCGGGGTCGGATTTCGGTGTTTCTTTTCCAATCCTCTATTAAATCACTTTCCAGCAACAGACATTTAAATACTTAATTTTTTAAATATTTACTTTTATTAACTTTTGCTCAGGTTGCTTGCTCCGATTGTATTTTACATTTTTTTTTTAATTTTTTTGTTGTTCTGTTTCACCAACATTATTCCTTTTTTTTTCTTTTTCTTTCTTTCATTCAAGTTAACAGCTTCTTACGTTAATTTTACTTTTCTTTCTTCCTTTTCTTTTTTCTTCTTTTCTTTCTTTCTTTCTTTTTTTTTTTCTTTCATTCAAGTTAACAGCTTCTTACGTTAATTTTACTTTTTTTTCTTCCTTTTCTTTTTCTTTCTTTCTTTTCTTTCTTTCTTTTCTTTTTTCTTTCTTTCATTCAAGTTAACAGCTTCTTACGTTAATTTTACTTTTCTTTCTTCCTTTTCTTTTTTCTTCCTTTTCTTTTTTTCTTTCTCTTTCTTTCTTTTTCTTTCTTTCATTCAAGTTAACAGCTTCTTACGTTAATTTTACTTTTCTTTCTTTTCCTTTTCTTTTTCTTTTTTCTTTTCTTTTTCTTTCTTTTCTTTTTTCTTTCTTTTTTTTCTTTCTTTCATTCAAGTTAACAGCTTCTTACGTTAATTTTACTTTTCTTTCTTCCTTTTCTTTTTTCTTCCTTTTCTTTTTTCTTTCTTTCTTTTTCTTTCTTTCATTCAAGTTAACAGCTTCTTACGTTAATTTTACTTTTCTTTCTTCCTTTTCTTTTTTCTTTCTTTTCTTTTTCTTTCTTTTTCTTTTTTTTCATTCAAGTTAACAGCTTCTTACGTTAATTTTACTTTTTCTTTCTTCCTTTTCTTTTCTTTCTTTCTTTCTTTCTTTCTTTCTTTTCTTTCTTTCATTTCAAGTTAACAGCTTCTTACGTTAATTTTACTTTTCTTTCTTTTCTTTTTTTTCTTTTTTTCTTTCTTTTCTTTCTTTTCTTTCTTTCATTTCAAATTGTAACAGCTTTACGTTAATTTTACTTTTTCTTTCTTCCTTTTCTTTTTTCTTTTTTCTTTTCTTTCTTTCTTTTTCTTTCTTTCTTTCAAGTTAACAGCTTCTTACGTTAATTTTACTTTTCTTTCTTCCTTTTCTTTTTTTTCTTTCTTTTTTTCTTTCTTTTCTTTCTTTCGTTATTCAAGTTAACAGCTTCTTACGTTAATTTTACTTTCTTTCTTTTTCTTTTTTTCTTCCTTTTCTTTTTTTTCTTTCTTTCTTTCTTTTCTTTTCTTTCTTTTTTTCTTTTTTCTTTTCATTCAATTAACAGCTTCTTACGTTAATTTTACTTTTCTTTCTTCCTTTTCTTTTTTCTTTCTTTTCTTTTTTCTTTCTTTCTTTTCTTTCTTTCATTCAAGTTAACAGCTTCTTACGTTAATTTTTCTTTTCTTTCTTCTTTTCTTTTTTTTCTTTCTTTCTTTCTTTTTTCTTTTCTTTCTTTCATTTCAAGTTAACAGCTTCTTACGTTAATTTTACTTTTCTTTCTTCCTTTCTTTTTCTTTTCTTTCTTTCTTTCTTTCTTTTTCTTTCTTTCATTCAAGTTAACAGCTTCTTACGTTAATTTTACTTTTCTTTCTTCCTTTTCTTTTTTCTTTCTTTCTTTCTTTCTTTCTTTCTTTTTCTTTCTTTCATTCAAGTTAACAGCTTCTTACGTTAATTTTACTTTTCTTTCTTCCTTTTCTTTTTTCTTTCTTTCTTTCTTTCTTTCTTTCTTTTTCTTTCTTTCATTCAAGTTAACAGCTTCTTACGTTAATTTTACTTTTCTTTCTTCCTTTTCTTTTTTCTTTCTTTCTTTCTTTCTTTCTTTCTTTTTCTTTCTTTCATTCAAGTTAACAGCTTCTTACGTTAATTTTACTTTTCTTTCTTCCTTTTCTTTTTCTTTTTTCTTTTCTTTCTTTTTCTTTTCTTTCATTTCAAGTTAACAGCTTCTTACGTTAATTTTACTTTTCTTTCTTCCTTTTCTTTTTCTTTTTTCTTTCTTTTCTTTCTTTCTTTTCTTTTTTTCATTCAAGTTAACAGCTTCTTACATTAATTTTACTTTTTCTTTCTTCTTTCCTTTTTTTCTTTCTTTCTTTTTTCTTTCTTTTTTCTTTCAGCTAAAGTTTTTCTTTCAATTTTACTTTTCTTTCTTCCTTTTCTTTTTTCTTTCTTTTCTTTCTTTTTTCTTTCTTTTTTTCTTTCATTCAGTTAACAGCTTCTTACGTTAATTTTACTTTTCTTTTCTTTTTCTT